GTCTAGTGTGACTCAAAAGAGAAATTATGAAAACCTGATGTATTCGCACGTATTGCCGCATTTTCTACAGGGTCTAAACATTCCATTCCATTCGAAAAGAATATAGTACCACACTCTCATATTGGTGGATTGTAAAGAAGTTCTCAGTTAAAATTTTACAATGATCATAGTTTGTGCCATCTAAGGTGAGAGATCTGCCTATTTCTCTTACAAACTCCTAACATATATTTATGGGTCTAACTTATAAGAAAGTCAACCCACGCTTTCAAGCAATATACAGATTTTCTAATCAATTAACCAATTAAAATTAATGATTCATGAAAATACAGATTTTAGACCACGAGTTTACCAGTATGTCAAAACTGACTTCGATTGACCAATACATCATAATTGGCTCATGAACCAGGTTCAAAATTTTAGACTATGAAATTTTCCTACTGTAGTAGATAAAATTCAAATTCTCGACATCACATATTAAACCCTTATGAAAATCATCCATGAGCCTTCATGTCACGAGTAAATAATTCATTATTATAAATATGATACAAATGTCGCAATCTGTTTTAGAATTACACCATAACACCAAAAAGTAAAACACATTCGAAAGCAACCGTGGAAGTATCTCTTGTTTCTAGTCCATTTTTGTTGTAAAAGAATGGAACAAACCTACAAGTCTTGATCTTCCATCACAAACAAAAGTTGACTAGAACTTATGCAACAAAGAACACCAGTAGTCCTCCCTCACTCTATCTGGAAGAAAACGTCTATGTTTCTTGTAGTTCAAGGCATAGAAGTTTATTTCATTAGAGTCTATTAAATAAAGGTGTCACGCGAAAATATATTTCGAATGTGAACTCCCGCAAGTGTACGGATCGTTGACAAGTAATAAAGTGGACTTTTTGAGTCCGAGTATCGTTCCTACAGAGATTTATTTAATTTGATTTCTATTTACTACGACCTTAACCGAAACAATAATATTAACTAGAATTAAATCAACTTCGATGCAAGTGTGAACTACTAAACTAAATCCAATTGATGGTTGAATACAAATTTTATGTAATTTATGAATGAAGGACGCACTAGGATCCCGAATCCCCAAATAATAATTATTTCTAACCCTAGTTTTATAATTTGACAACACGAATCCAATTATGACGAATCAATGTTCCTATCATATCCAACAATCTCTCTCGAGTAATGTTGGACCTACCCTCGCATACGATCCGACTATATCTCTGTGACGAATGCGAATATACAAGAATGTACGCGATTTTATGAACACTTAGAGATTTACATAAGGAATAGTGGTATATTTCTATCCCCTATCAGACCTTATGATGATTATATATGTCAAATTTATTTCTCTTCTCTCGAATGCATGAACAAAATCACCAAACTCACATAATTATCGTGCACTATAATTATGGAAGCAATTAATTCCAGCGTTCTAAAAGGTGGCAAAATGCGCCGCCTAGGCGCGCCTAAGCACAAGGCGTAGCCAAAATGCCTCGCATTCGGGCTATGCGTGTACAAATGCGGTCAACCCCCTCGTTGACCACTTAGATGCACGCAAAGGCGCGATAATGCGAGCACTTTTCATTTTTTTAATTATATATTTTTTAAAATTTTCTTTTAATTATATAAACTAACTTCCAACCCACCAATTGGCAGCCTAGGAAGCATATTAAGCCATTGTTGGCCCATTTATTTATAGGCATAATTTCTTGTGCTTCCTCTGTAGGATTCCGATGTGGGATTCCAATTGGTTGATATGTATGAGTTGTTCTTCACAGTGCTTCCTCTATAGGCTAAATTTTATGTATATTGACCAGAGAATCAATAAAAGAGGAGGCTGCTGCTGTGCAAGAGCAAGTGAAGCAGAGATGGGATCCCTTACTATTGTTGGGGTAATCCCGTTATTATGTTTGGCTGGTTTTGATCTGAGGCAAATATACCAGCCCAATTGTTCAACCTCCTCTTCCTGCTGCTGCCCTTCGGCTGCCACTAACAAATTCGAGAAATAGCNTTCGAGAAATAGCAGCCACCATCGTTACTGCCATCCTCCTCCTCCTCAGATTGAATACCCTCCACCCCTGTGGCCACACAACCCATGTAATAATTGTTCTGAAAATAGGAATCCCCACTGTCCACAAGCTGTGGACATTCCTGATCATCGACCACTGAACTTCCATCACTGCCGTTGCTGAGGCGGTCCTCCACCTTCACAATGAGTTGGACAGGGGTGGTATCGGTTGGAGCATCCACCGGGAGTGGATTCGATTTCTCTCCTACAGCCATTCAAATCCAAGGAATCAAAGTGAATCTAGAATCAAAGTGAATCCGGGGCAGAACAAAAATCGGGCGAAAAATCTGGTTGCAATCTTGAGGCGCCTGCTTTTGTATCAATGAACCCAAATCACCACCTAACTGGATTACATCCTACACCTGCTAAATCACCACCTAATCTGGAGATTAATGGAACCCAAATCATCCAAGATTGGAGAAGCAAGATTGCAATTTTGCTAAAGACATTGCAATTTTGCTTTTGTATCAACGACATTGGAGAGGCCCATTTTGCTAAAG